AAATAGAAAGAGAAATATATTCAAGGATGACCAGTCATGGTGATGCAGGGAAAAATCAACAATCCATGATGCTGAGCCATAAGGGAAGGCCTGGAGTTCACAGCCCAAGGTGTCCCTGTGCACCCCAAGATTGTGTGGTGCATATGTGATCCTGGCTGACAGAGGCTACTTGTTGGATTGTGGCATTAAGAAACTGTCAGGAGGTCCAGCAGTTAGCATAATGACTATGTTGCTGGACTCCCACGTAGGTGACCGCAGTTCACATCCTGGACCCGGTGACTTAAAACTAACACTGGACTTCTTGAAGACACAGCCTCGTGGATTCTGCAAACTAGCCGTTTTGGGGAAACAGAAATCAAGACTTCCCACTGCTAATTCGGTCTCCAGCACACAAAACTCGTGTGGTAGGAAGACCCCTTCCAGGCCTCCTGTCTCTGTACCTGTCTTTGTCTCTCTCTACCTCTGTCGCAGTCTCTGTCTCCGTCTCTTAATTTTTGCTTTTTAGAATTTCACGCTTGTGTGCCGTGCAGTTTTCCAATTTTTGTTTTTTTACTGAAATTTTTTTAAATATTAATTTTTTAGTTTTATTGAAAAGTTTTTATCTTCATTTTTTTCTTCTCTTTTTCTGTTCCTTGTTTGTTTTTTTGCTGTTGTTGCTGTTGTTTCTCTCTTTCTATTTCCTTTTCTGCACACTCTTTAATGCTCAGATTGAACTTCCAAGTTTGGGAAGAAACTGACCATCAACCAGATGACTAGAAATCACTGCAGGACCACAAGAAATATGGGAAAGCAGGAAAATACCTCGCCTCCAAGGGAAAAGGATAATTCGTCTTTATCCACACACAGTTCAAAGGAATTCATGGAAATGTCTGATAAAGAATTCAGAACATTCATAATGGCAAAACTAACAGAGATGGAAGAGAAGAGAAACAATGAACTGCTGAAGAGGAAGGAGAAAGAAGTTGCTGGGTTCCAGGAGGTGAGGAAATTCATGCAAGATCTAAAGGAGGAATTTCACACTTTATAAAAGAATCAGATGGAACTGTTAGAGATGAAGGCTGAAAGTATTGAAAAGCAGACTAGATAATACAGAAAATAGAATCTCAGACATGGAAGAGAAAATTGCTAGCCTAGAAAAATCCACCACAAAGACTGAGAAAATGGCCCAGAAATTTGAGACTAATATACTAGAAATACTAGATACCATTGAACATCCAAACATCCAGATAATAGGCATCCCAGAAGGTGAAGAGACTCACAAGGGCATTGATAATCTATTCCATGAGATCCTGCAAGAAAACTTTCCAATCCTAGAGAGGCACTCAAAGATTCAATCCCAAGAAATACAGAGGACCCCAAATAGAATCAACC